TAAGGGGATCCTAACCCTTGACTTGGTGTTGTCAGCACCACACTCTCCCAGTGAGCTAACCGGCCGTTCCTATATGGGATCCGAACCCGTGGCCTTGGTGTTATCAGCACCTCACTCCCCCGAGTGAGCCACGGGCCGGCCCCAAATGTCTTAATTTTTAAAATATCTGAAGTTCAGTTTTCTTACTAATTGTATTGGTTTCCTCATTTAAAGGTTCAAACATTTGGATCACAATGTATTTTGCACGACACATTCACATATTTTGTTATTTAGTCTGCTTGGTTTAGGTAGAGCAAATATTCTCCTCATGCCACAGCAAAGGAAATGGAGGCTGTGAGTGGGCAAGTGGGTCCCTTGAGGTCACACAGCTGCTCACAGGGCCTTGGACTTTAAAAGCAGTGTCTTCCACTGCTGCATCCTCTGGCTTGGCCTCAGTGACAGTATTCACTCTCCCCTCTTTTCAGTAGGAATTACATCTCTGTAAAGCTCAGTATGTAAATATGTCTATTTAGATAGAAATGTAACAATTATCTTTAGTTGATTTTTTGAGAAACTTCACATTCTGTGCCTAGCAGACAGTAAACTCTGGATTCCCAAATAGATTTTGATTCTTCCGAGAGTTATCAAATTCATCTGTATCTTTTAGTTAGTCTGCAGGTCTTCTCTGCTTTAAATTAATCATCAGTTCACTGCAACTCATCAAAGATTGTGGAATATGCATGTAATTTTTTTCCCTTTGGTATAACTTTGCTTGCTTCAGAAATTTTTGTGCACTTTAGCTTTCCTTGGTGAATGTTTGACAGATAAAAGAAAGTGTTTTGTCTCTGGCTATTGTTTCTCCCTTTTGTAGATATGCAAAAGCTATAAGGGGGAGGGTCGAAAACAGATTTGCAACCAGCAGCCATCGTGTGAAAGACTTCACATCTGTGAGCACTTCACCCGAGGGAATTGTAGTTACCCCAACTGCCTTCGGTCCCATAACCTGATGGACAGAAAGGTGCTGGCAATCATGAGCGAGCATGGGTTGAGCCTGGACGTGGTACAAAACATCCAAGACATTTGCAACAACAAGCACACCCGGAAGAACCCCCCTGGGTCAAGAGGTAAGTGCTTTTTACCTTTTTAATTGTATGAACTTTCAAATAAACAGAAATAACAAGGAAGGAAAAACTAGTATAATCGTTGTACCTTGCTGTGTAGAACTGTCTTCACTTCTCTTGCAGACCTTGTCTATTTGCATACATCATTTTTACATAATTATAATCATAGTATATGTGATTTTGTAATTAGATTTTCATGCTTAGCACTATTTCTGTGCAGATTTTTTAAAAAGTTTATCATTTCTCTAAAAGCTAGTTGATAGTTATTTTTTTTAAGGGGAAAAAAAATAAATTTTTTTAGAGTCACCAGTTCTTAGTATTTTGTTCCAACTGCTTTATGTCTTTGTTTATGTATATACAGATACTCAGGCACACATTGTTGTGGGGTGAACGAATACAGGAAGCACAGAGGAATCCAAGACTGTTGTCAGCGTTGCAGTTTTATAGCTCTTTATTTTAGTGTTGCAGCTCTTTGTTCAGTGTTACAGAGCCTCTTTTTGCTTGCAAGCAAGGAGAGCACTAGGGAGCAAAAACTAAACCAGTGTCTCCCAGAACAAAGGAAAAAACCATCTTATATAGCCTAAGTTCCCGCCCTTTTCCCACCCAAGTTCCCATTCAGGTCCTCTTATGTAAATGAGGGGACACAGTCCATTGGTCACTTCTGGAGCCTAATTTGCATCTGGCGCTTGGGGGATGTGAGACTGCTGTTATCTCACAGAGGGCAGGTGCAGGAAGCAAGCAAGCAAGCAGAGGGCAGAGTCTGCAGTTAAGGCAGTCAAGCTTAGAGTTTCTAAAACAGTCTCTCAAGTGGAAAAGGGGAAGGGCTTAACAATTGGAAAATGCTTAGGGTTCCCTGCAACAATGTATAACATTTTTGTGGTTAAAGCATTTATTGTATGCAGACATGATACTTCACATCTGAATATATCAGCATGCACCTCCTCAGAACAAGGCCATTCTCTTACATAATCACAATACAATTAATATAGAAAATGTGGCATTAATGCAAAACTCTAGACAATTTAATTTATAGTCCTCAGTACTATTTCTTTAAAAATTGTTTTACTTATTTTTTATAAATTGTGGTAAAATATACATAGCATGAAATTTCTCATTTTACGCATTTTCAAGTGTACGGTTCAGTGGCATTAAGTACATTCACACTGTGTGCAGCCATCACCACCATCCATCTCCAGAACTTTTTCATCTTCCCAAACTGAACTCCATACCCATTAAAGAATAACTACCAATACCCTCCTCCCCACCCCCCAGCCCCACCCCTGCCAGGCCCTGGCAACCACCATTCTACTTTCTGTCTCTATACATTTGACAACTTTATATGTACCAGTGGAATCATACAGTATTTGTCCTTTTAGGACTGGCTTATTTCACTTAACATAATGTCTTCAGAGTTCGTTCATGTTTTCACATGTGTCAGAATTTCCTTCCTTTTTAAGGCTGAATAATACTCCATCGTATGTATATACCACATTTTGTTTATCTATTCATCTGTTGATGAGCACTTGGGTTGTTTCCAGATTTGGCTATTGTGAGTAATGCTGCTGTGAACATGGGTGTACAAATATCTATTTGTAACCCTGATTTCAGTTCTTTTGGGTATATGCCTTGAAGTGGAATTGCTGCATCATATGGAATTCTGTGTTTAATTTTTTGAGAAACCACCATACCATTTTCCATAGCAGCTGCACCATTTTTCACTTCTGCCAGCAATGCACAAGGAGCCAAATTTCTCTCCAGCCTTTTGCTGTTTTCTGATTTTTTGATAATAGCCATCATAATGGGTATGAAGTGATACTGTTCCTTAAGCATTTTCATATTGTATAATGGTATTAATCTCACAATTTTTAATGTCTTTATGGAGTGGCTGTAGAAGGGGTGAATTTTATGAAGGAGATAGAATATGTGATTCTAAGATTCTGTAAAAAGTAGTGAACAATTACACTTCCTTATATTTTGAAAATGATTTACAGTTTACAAGGGACTTCTACCCAAAGTATCTCATCATTGTTTCTTATAGCAAAATCATGAAGAAAGTCAGAAATATCATTTATTAGCCTTACTTAAGGGGTAAGGAAACTAAGACTCAAACATTTTAAATGACTTTTATTGCACAGACTTAAATCATTTTTAGAAGAATACACAGTAATATGAAGAACAAATAAAAAGTAACATTTTCAAAGCCTCACACCACTAGAAAGCAGCAGAGCTCACAGTTTCTGATTCTGTATCTAATGTTTCTCCCACAGCACATACTCTCTGAACAGGAGGGTGCTGGAGGGATGGTTTTTGGTGTAGTTTTCCAGTGTAAATTGTGTGTGAGAAAGATCTGTATTTATTACATCTAGTTAATCTACTGAGTCAACCATTTTGTTGACAGGAGGAGGATGTTTGCTTTTGCTATATAACTGCTGCCCCTGTGTTTGGAAGAGAAAGGACTTCCTTCTACCCCTTTCCCACACACAGTAGCACAACTCACACACAGGCGCACACACACGCGCACACACACACACATTGCACGCTGCATGCACACACACACACACTCACTCTCACAAACACATGCCCGCTCCTTCCTCCCTCCTTGCTTCTGGGAGAGTGTGGACTCATCAAGTTTCTAGAGAAAGGCCAAGTCCCTCCAGGCCACTGCTTTGTCAATTTTGACTTGACATTAAGCTTGGGCATGGGGGCGCTAGATGAAGAAATCTGGAAACACAAAATCCCACCTTTAGAATGTAGTTTCATTTTCTGTTTAAGTACAGTATTGTGAATCTTCAAATCATCAGGTATGCCCATATCACAATATGGGCAAAATGTAAATGATCTTGGAAAATCCTCCCTGATTTGCCCTGGTCCATCTCTCCATTCACCATAGTGGTGAATATTGATTTGGAACCATGGGCTAGTGGACAGACCCATCTAAAAGGTTTGGGGCTTGGGGGCTACGTCTAGATCCGAGAAGAGAACCAGTGACCAGGGTCTGACCTTTATCCTAGGTCATGGCATGACGTTCTCTGCTGTGCTAGCAGAATGGCAAGGTTCCATCATTGTCATTACCACCCATCCTCGAGATTTTTACCTACCAGATTAGGACAAGCGATTCGATAGAGCTTGGGTAGCAAAGCTGGAAAAGCTAAGAGAAGCAATAGTAGTAAGAACTCAATCACATTAACTCTAATTTTCATTATTTTGTTTTGTTCTGGTTTTCTTTTTCTAGCTCCTTCCTCACATCGTCGAGCCATGGCATATAGAGATAGAAGCAAAAGTAGGGAACGATTCTTTCAGGGCAGCCAAGAATTTCTTCCATCTGCTTCAGATGCTGCTCAGAGGTCCTCCACACCCAGTCCAGATCAAATGGGCCGCAGGGCTCCCCAGGATGACGTGCCTGTAGATGATCTCACCCACAAGTTCATGTATCTGGGGAGCCAGGATCACTCTCAGCCTTCCTCAGTCTCGTCTAAGCCTGCCAGTCTTGGAGGAACAGGTCAAGTGGGAGCAAGCCAGAAGTTATTGGTGAATGGCAGTTCGGAGGGCCTCTTTTATGGGAATCAAGGCAACACATCTGTTCCTTCTGATTCAACACCAGCCTCCTACTGGAAGAGCTCCACATCTTGGCAGAATGACCAAGGCACTGGGAGAGAGAGTGTGTTTTCTTCAATTCGTTCAGCTGCCCACCCCCCTCTTGGTTCAGCACAAACGCCTGAAGCTGCAGCCACCAGAAAGAATACAGGTGTGCTTTCCTCGGACCGCAGGAGCTTCGAGGGCAAAAGTAGGACTCAAGACATCCAGCATGTCCCTCTTTTTAATAATAACGCTGATGGAGTGGCCACAGATATAACTTCCACAAGATTTTTAAGTTACAGAACCATAGCCGACGGTCAGAGAGAAGTATCATTATCTAGGAATCAGGACACTGGAACTACTCTCCGGGATGTCCAGACCACTGGCAAAGTTACAGATGGTGATGACCAAGGAGTGGTATTTGTAAATGGCAAATACACAGGGAAGATGTTTTGGTCTAGTAAATCTGTCCACAATGCACGAAATGGCTCTCGTCAAGTTATAGATGAAACTACTGATATCGATAAAACTGGTGCCACTGGTTTTGGCTTAATAACGGCAGTCACTGGGGAAAAAGCTCTGTCACGCTCTGGAAATCAGAGTCTGGAGAGCCAGTTCCCGACCACACGTGGGGAAGCCACCGGCCCTGCACAAGCCAGTGGTGTGCTTCCGTCACCTTCTCCATCTTCGTCAGGCAACAGAAGTGCAGCCTGTGGGACCCTTGGTCAGAACTCTGCCCAAGTCTCTGTTAGCCCTGCCAGTGAGCTCACAAGGAGAACTTCAGGCTCTGCTCAGCGTAAGTCACCGAAGGACAAAGGGGCCCCCATGGCTTGAGTCTGCAGCAGAGCAGCTGTGGCTGGCAGGTTCTCCTTAGATGCTCCCCAGTGGTGATCAGAGGGCATAGAGTTAGAGGATTTAGGGTAACAGGTGGGGACTGATGTACGAAGTCAGGGAAAAACCAACCAGTAGAACCACATGGAGTAAGCTGCTACATCTGTTGAGAATAGTAGTAGTTTGACTCTGGTTTATGAAATAAATATAACTCTCATGTGGCCCTAATGTCCATGCTTCATTTTATGGAGAGGCTGTCTAGACTCTCATGAGCAATGCATGAATCCCAGGAATTTTCTTGAACATGGCCCTGATTTCAGATATTTTTTGCCATTGTGAGACCAGGTGTATTGATTTTTGGTTTAAACATTTAGATCACCATACATGCATGCTCTTTTATTTTATAGATTCCATATCTGCTGTCGCGAGTACCACATCTTCTAGAATGGATGATTATGACTCAAAGGAAATTTGTCTTGACTATCTGTATAAGGGCTGTCACCTTAATAGTGAGTAACATAAGGACTTTCTTTGAGATTCTGCCTTGTGGCCACTGTGAATAATGCTGCTGTGAACATGGGTATACAAATATCTGCTCAAGACCCTGCTTTCAGATATCTACTCAAAACCCTGCTTTTTGGGGGGTATATACCCAAAAGTGGAATTGCTGGATCATGTTGCTTTGCCTCCTATGGATTTGTCACCCCTTTTCCCCTGGGTGATGGAGCCACCAAAGATTACTCAAAGCCCATCTCTTCTGAGCAGTGAGAAGCCCTGAAAAGCAGTTAATCTCCTGGAACCCTCAAGAGCGAGGCATTCCTTCCATTTGGGAAATTAACCATGAAATGGGGTTCTCTTCCCGCATTTATTCGCCAGACCAGGAAGTTACAGGAAGAGAACATAGGTGGTGTTTTTGCTAAGTACAGTTTAACAAGTTTAACAATAGAAGCTGGTAACATTTAGTAAGACAAGCAAGGTGATGCAGTTTTCAAGAAGTTAAGTCAATCCACCAACAAAAGCTTGATTTTAGCAAACATTCTCTTCTTACAGCAATTTCCTAGTATCTTTACATATCAATCAGTAACCTGTCTGTCTTTGAGCCAGCAACCTCCCTGTGTTACAATTCTTTATCTTACAACAGAGACTATAGGCTGGGGGAAATTTCCTGTCTTTTGCAAGGTCAATATTTGAAACTGCAAGGCTTTTGAAAACCAGGCCCTGTGAAGTACATTTGCTTTATGCATACTCCACAGGATCATATGGTAATTCTGTGTTTAATTTTTTTGAGGAAGCATTTTCCATAGTGGCTGTAACATTTTTCATTCCCACCAGCAATGCACAAGAGTTCAGGTTTCTCCACATCCTGCCAATTGTTGCTTTTCTGTGTTTTTTGCTTGTTTTGATAGCAACCATTCTAAGGGCTGTGAGGTGTGGACTGTAATGAACAGTTATGTACTTTGAATCAGCCAAGTCTCAAGCACTGCCACCCTGTGGGTTTCCCAGTGGTTCCTAACCCTGCCTATTTTTGTTTTAAAGTAGTCACACATCTTTTTGACCGTTTCAAAATGACTTACATATAACGCAATGCAAATTTTGAAAAACAGAACTATTATTTTCTGTATTCCTGTATTATGGACTCTGACATTAATACATTATTCAACCAGCATTCCTTTACTGGCCATCTTTTGCACGCCCAGCCAATCTTTTCTTTAGTCATTTATATGCAAATAAGAAAGCTGCATAAAATAAGTGAATACATAAATGATAAAGCCCAAACTGGGTATTGGGTACTGGCTAAAGGAATACGAAATACAATCAGATGAGAATAGAGTCAGATTTGTTGGCGAAATCTTTCTGGAAGAGATGAATTATAGACCAGGGCTTCAAGGAAGTACAAGTGATTGCCTATGCTAGAGAGCATTTTATTTTAATATACACACTGGGGGGAGGGAGGTGCAGAAAGGGTAACTGTAAATTTATAATTACCTCACATTTCCACGTGGATAGAGTGACTTTTTGGGGACTGGGGAATTTTTGTTTTCCAATGATGGATAATGGATATGGAGCAATGCACGCAGGGCAGGCACAAGTGAATGTACAGACAGGAAGTGTCTGGCAGGGTGGGACAGGCTGGCCTTGACCGGGAAAGCCAGCAATGGACTTGGCTAGGTTGGTTAGAGCCTCTGCTAAATGGTCCCTCAGACCTCCTCTTTGTCTTCGTAGGCAGCTGCAACAAAGTCCACTTCCACCTGCCCTACCAGTGGCAGGTATTAATTGATCAAACCTGGATAGACTTCTCGTCCATGGAGAAGATCGAAGAGGCCTTTTGTAACCCCCACATTCACAGGTAAGTTGGTGGCTGTGTTCTGCCTGTCAAGATCCACAACATCATCAAAGGAAAGCATAGTTTTGGGCTTACAGGAAAAAGAAAAAACAGTCTTCCTTCAGAATCCCATTCAAGTTTGAGATAACTCGAGTAAGAATGGCAAGTGCCTGCTGTATTAATGAAGGAAGAAAACCACAGTTGGGTAGGTTTGAAGTCACCCTGAGTCTGGCTAATAATAGGGATTCTGAGAATATTTGCTAACTCAAGTGGGATGAACAGGGACATGAATATCGTCTGGTTGATATCGGTTAGTGTGTCCTGCAGAATAACACGACGCAGAGGTCGGTGAGGATTCTTACCAGTTCATCACAGAACTCCTAAAAATACTAAATGGTTTAGGACAAAAGAGCCTTTTGCTTAACTCCGTAATCTTAAAACAGAATTTGAGTAATTTCATGTAGGTCCAGTGCAGAATTTTGTTGTATACTTTAGCATTTTATACCTTCCTTATATTTGCTATTTTCTCTATCCTGGAAGTATCTAAGAGGATACTTTACATTTCTGTTTCTGTCAGAGCAGAAGTGGGTGGTATCTACATGACTATATTTACCTATGATGTGCAGGGGTGTAAGATGCGTAATAGTTTTACCAGGAAACTCTGGGAGGAAAAAAAATATATATATATATATATACATATATATTTTTCATCATGCACAGAATTAGTGAATTTTTGGTGGTGACTCTGTGTTGCTGCATTTTGCCACTAGATGGTGGCATCAGCTATTTTCTTGTTTCTAGGTACATATTTTTCCCCCTAGGTAAATCTAAAGCAGGGCTTCTCAGCCTCAGCTCTGTTGACATCTTGGGCCAGATAATTATTTGTCATGGGGGGCTGTTTAGCAGTATTCCTGGCCTCCAACCACTAAATGGCAGCAAGTACCATCCCTCATACTCCCCACCCCTCAGTTGTGATAACCAAAAATGTCTTCCAATAGTGTCAAATTTCCCCTGGGAGCAAAATCTTTCCTGATTGAGAACCACGGATCTGAGAGGTCTTTCATCGAGCAGCCATTTTCAGACTTCCTGGTCTCAGGACCCCCTCAACACTCAGAATGTAATGAGGATCCCAAAGAACTTCTGTTTATGTGGATTATAGCTATCAATATTTACCATATTAAAAATTGAAGCTGAGAAAAATTAAATATTTGTTGACGTTTAAAAATAACAATAATACACCTATTACATGTTAGCATAAAAAATATATTTTTATGTAACTATATTCATATAATTATGTATGAGGGTAGTTCAAAAAGTTCATGGAAAGATTTGTATGATCTTCTGATTGTACTTTTCCAAAAGCTTTTTAAACTATCCTCATATAAAATTATATAAATACGATCTTTTACTTGTGCTTTTCCATAAACTTTTTAAACTACCCTCATATGTAATTATATGTATTATTGTTATTTTTAATGAGTCAAAAATATTTAATTTCTCTCAGCTTTAATTTTTAATATGGTAAGTATTGATAATGTCTTTCAAAACAAAAAATTTATTGAGAAAAGTGATACTGCTTTATGCTTTCGCAAATCTCTTTAATGTCTGGCTTAACAGACATCTGGATTCTCATAGCTGCTTTCTTTATTCAGTCTATTGTGAAACCATATATCGTGTAGCCTCTGGAAAATTCCATCATGCACTTGTAAGAGAATGAAAATGAAAAGGGCAAATAATGTCTTAATATTATTATTAAGATAAGTTTGACCTTGCCAATTCTCTGAAAGCATCTTGAACTACATTTTGATAACTAAATGATAATAAATAATTTTAAGAACTGACCTAATGTGAGTTTCTAACTCACTTTCTAACATTCAGCCAATCTGTTGTTTTGTGGGCACAGTTTTATTTTGGGATAGCTTTTAAGGTAAGAATGCATTTTGAGACACTATTAAATATGTGGCATGGTCAAATTTCTGTATCACTTTGTATTTCAGTTTTTTTTTTTTTTTAATGTGTAAGACCCACAGATGTGTAAAGAAAATTTGAAGATCCTTTTCAGCCCTGCAGTCTGAATTGTGCGCTCTCGTTAGGGAAGACCAGATTGTGGAAAACAGAAGTGAATGAAGCATGTTAACTTTATACTCTTTTCTCTCAGCATTTCTGTAAGAAATCAAAAAATCAATTTCCAGGATATGACTTGTGATTCATATCCCATCCGACGTATCTCCACTCCTTCATCTGTCACAGTACCGGCCAATTCTGTCTTTGCCACCAAATGGATTTGGTATTGGAGGAGTGAATCTGGCAAATGGATTCAGTACGGGGAAGAGGTGAGTACTGTTTGTGGCAGGCTCTTGTTTAAACTTGGCAACTTTAAAAGAAAACTTTTTTTTTTTTTTCTTTTTGTCTTTTTTACTGACTGATAACGGGATCGCAA